GAGTACACCCCCAGACCCCCCCCCATTCATGCGTGGTATGTTGGCCGCACACGTGACCTTCAGCCATTGCTATCCCCCTCTAATATATTATCTCACAGAAAGGTCCCTTTTCAAGAAATGCCCCCCCCCCCACGGGAAAATCCTTAAAAAGGCCCTGAAATATACAAATTTATACATATTCTGTACAGACTGCAAACTTCAAGGAGCCGAACTCAAAAGGACCACTCTGCAACAAAAAACCTAAGCGGTTACAGAATAACAACTTTGGACCCGAGCCGATTCAACTCCCCGAAATTTAGTAATTTACAATGCACATAAGACACAAACGCACAGAAGTATACACAACAATTAACAAATGGATAAGATTTTGCCGTTGTCTGTTCAGTTTTAGATACACATTGATTATGAAGTCATACTGTGGAAAGAACAAAAAAGTGGCTCGAGACCCGCCGAGGCGAGTCATGGGTCACTTTTTGTTCTTCCCGCGCTATGGCCTATGATGACATACTGTGTATCTATAACTGAACAGACAACGGCAAAATCTTATCAATTTGTTTTGTAATAGATTCTTTTTGTTTTTTTTGTGACCAATAGCAAGGCTTAAATTTTAAATTTAATTTAATTTAATACGCTTTGGAGTTCACAGTTTTAGATCGCAAATTGTAGTTTGTTTTTTACCTGATGATGGAATAAACTCCGAAATGTATTAAATTAAAATAAAATTTTAAGCCTTGTTATTGGTCATTGTAAAAAGCAAAGAGAATCTTTTATTAAAATGAGAAATGTATTTGGAAACCCCCGAATTAAATAGGTAACTTACTTTTTATCCACCCAAACATTTGGAAATTTGAAAAGTCGAATTTATACAAATATCACGCGTACATGATCTATACAAATAAGGAATGCTATTGGATAAGGTTTTGTGTGACGTAATTCCATGCGTCTGTCCTCTATAATAGATCATGGCTCTCAACCAATGAAAGCGCTTGAATTCTTAACGTTATTATATAATTACTGATAGTTATCATCATAACTGCTTACTTATTTGTCATCTTTTTTTTCCAGTTCAACCCATGAAAGAAAGAGTCGCACCAATGTAGTGGTAAAAGATGGCCGCTTTTACTTGAATCATAATTCTCTGAACGAGGTATGAAATAACAACTCGAAAGACTCGAAATAATATTGTCTTCACCTCAAGTCGCAGAGAAAATTCCGAGGGTGTAAACTCATCTTGTCTCAAGCAAGATGCAAAAAATTTCCCAATCTTACAGTCGTGCCAATTGAAGCGTTCCGAAAAATGTTGACCAATTCATTTCCTAACTTGAAGAAACACCTCTGAACAATTCCTCAGCAATTTGATAAGTTCCTTAAAAAGTTCCTAACTTCATGTTTCATTGACCAATCAGATTGCTCGAAAATAAAATATAAAATTTGATTGGTCAATGAAACAGCAAGTTAGGAACTTTTTAAGGAACTTATCAAATTGTTGAGGAATTGTTCAGAGGTGTTCCTTCAAGTTAGAATTGGTCAACATTTTTCGCTTCTATTGGAACGACTGTAAACGTTTGGCCGTTTCCTTATAGCAAGCAATGCAACTTTAGCGAAAAAATGCAACTTTAGGTCCCTGGAAGGACTCGAACCTGCGTCCCTGCGACTCCGATGCAGCGCTCTAACCAACTGAGCTACAGAGGCCAGTTGTTAGAGCTCGACTCTGTAGCCCAGTTGGTTAGAGCGCTACACCGGAATCGCAGGGGCACAGGTTCAATTCCTGCCAGGGACCGAAAGTTGCATTTTTCGTTTCCGTTCCTGGTTTGGTCTAATAAATGTATATAAATTTCCAATCGACAATTTCCATCTACCCATCAAATATTATTCATTCAAGTGAGATGCCGCAAAAATCTTGATATTTGTGTTAGTATTAAGCATATTTTATGTTTGATTAGATGACGCTACTATTACTAACCCTAAAGTACTTATAGTACATGAGCGTTGATTGGAATTGAGAAGCGTATTTTTGTAACTGTTTGGACACACGCGAAATTTCCCGTCTAGAAACCTAATTGATTTTAAGGGCCTGTTTATATATGGAAGCCAGGCTGGCCCGCAAAGCGAGACAGCCCGGTAAGCTAGATCTCGCTGTGTAGTTATTTTTATAGTAAAAGTTATTGTGCGTTTATATGGACAAGCAGGCTGGCCTGTTGCCGAGATCTCGCTTGAAAGAGACGGGATCTCTCGCTCAGCGGGATGGAAATTTCACCATATAAAAAACACTCACGAGCGGGCTGGCCCTGTTGCCGGGATGAAAGTTCAAAGATATACCGCGCAAGCTATTTTTAACAACTGCCAAAACAATGTCAAAACTACAAAATTGTCCACACACGAGAAATTTATCCCGCTTAAGGCCCTAAAACGTAAAACAAAAACAATTTTGACACGCGCTGTATTTGAAAAAAAGTGTGATAATACTAGGTTTAAAAACAGAGTTTAGGAACCTCAAAACAAAAAGGGAATTCTCAGTTTAATAAAAAGAGAACTTGACAATTTATGGCCAAATTGACGAGAAAAAGCCGGGCAAACGATATTATGCTGAGCTAGAATCAGAATTTGTAAATTAATCGATCTAAAAAAATGACCATAAAACGCTTTTGATTTATATTATATATAAAAGAAATAGAAAATATTTTTCTCTGTTTTTCTATACAGTTATAGAAACACTTGTGGTAGTTTGGGAGAACTCGAAATAGCGTAGAAAAATTCGCCCCCTGATTATTTCTCGTTCTCTAAAACTTGCACGCGTGTTTTTATAACTGAATAGAAACTCGGAAAATGTTTACTATTCCTAAGTATAGTAAGTGCTTAGGTGAAATCCATTGATAAATTGTAATCTTCTCCCAGGATGCTCCAGTGGTGGTTATATTTAAAGCCATGGGGATAGCCACTGACCAGGAGATCATGCAGATGATTGGCAGTGAGGAAAGTGTGACGTCCGCGTTTATGGCATCGTTTGAGGAAGCACAACGCTTGAAAGTCTTCACTCAGTTACAGGTAAGCATAAACGCCTTAAGGCTGATTTCCACGGTTGCGTTTTTCATACGTACGTATACGCACGTAAAACTTTAAATCAATTTAAATGTTACTTATGAAATAACCAAATAAATAAAATAACAGAATTTAGTATTCCGCAAATTTTAACATGCATTTTTTAACTTATTTGTAAAATATTTAAAAAATAGAAGGATTCAAAGTTTTACGTGCGTATACGTACGTATGAAAAACGCGACAGTGGAAATCAGCCTTTACGGAAACCTTTTTATTACAGACACCTTTCTGATATGGAACCTATTTAAGACAGACACCTTTCTGATACGGAAACCTCTCTGAGACAGACACCTTTCTGATACGGAAACCTCTCTGAGACAGACACCTTTCTGATACGGAAACTCTCTAAGACAGACACTTTCTGATACGGAAACCTCTCTAAGACAGACACCTTTCTAATACGGAAAGTTGGAAACCTCTCTAAGACAGACACCTTTCCAAATACGGATACTTCTCTAAGACAAACACCTTTGTATACGGAAACCTCTCTGAGATAGACACCTTTCTGATACGGAAACCTCTCTAAGACAGACACCTTTCTCATACGGAAACCTCTCTGAGATAGACACCTTTCTGATACGGACACCTCTCCAATACAGACACTTCTCTAATACGGACACCACTCTAATACGGACACCTCTCCAATACGCACACTTTTCTAATAAGGACGCCTTTCCAATATGGACACCTCTCTAATATAGACATCTCTCTAATACAGGCACCTCTTTGATATGGACTCCTCTCTAATATAGACACCTCTCTCTAATATGCACACCTCTCTAATACAGACACTTCTTTAAGGTTACAGGGCATATTTTGTGGCTTGCGAAGAATCGCTACTGCGCGCTTAATATAAATCCGATTTTTATCAAATGTTCATTACTGCTTGCAGAATATCAGAAAGGTGTCAATTAAGTTGACAAACAATAAAACAATTTTTGAATAATACAGTTTTTTGGTGTTTTTTTTTTAATCAGGCTGATTAGTGGATTTTAGATTTCATTGTTCTTCCCCAATCAGATCAGTTTGTTACAGATTTGTGCACTGTTGTTACATAATTTTGCACTGCAGTTTGAAATTAACTGCACTGAAACCAACCAATCACAGTAGAGTAATATTTTTATGTGTATTATTACTGTATGTCCCAAATAAACTTTCGTATATTTTAATCTACAAACACTTACTAATGCTATTATGTAGGCATTGACGTACATTGGCACTAAAATTAGACAACGACAAATGTGGGGCAAAGTGAGATCAAAACTGGACGACGCAAGAGAACTACTGGCTCATACAATACTAGCACATGTGCCTGTAAGTAATGGCTTTTACTTGATATTTTAAAGGACATTGGCAATAAAAAATAGTTTAGTTCATTTGAAAGAACTCTTAAAACTATATGTTAAACTCTATTACAGATTGTTTATATCTTGCTTATATATAGTTTTCGAAATATTTCGACTGAAAAAAGTGAGCTGTTCGCCATCTTGGATTATTGAGGATGTGCAATGTTACGTCAAGAGAGGGGTCACGCTAATTTTTATCTTGAGAGTAAGCGATCAATATGGGTTCAAAACGTCGTTTCTGGTTGCTGTCTGAAATTTAGTTGGTAATGATTATTAAAAACATTTCAAACAATTTTGGATTTTTGCTCGGTCATTTTAGAGTATTTTTATATGGTTAACCCAACTCCTGACGTCATCAAAACCATAGTTAATGAGGTCAAGAATTAGTCCAAAATGGCGGACAGCTCATTAATTTCGGTCTAAATATTTCGAATAAGCAAGATATGACAAATGGGCAATGTAGTTTAATATATAATTTTAAGAGTTGTTTTGAATGAGACAAACTATTTTTTTATTGCTAATGTCCTTTAATAGCTAAAACTAAATTGAGAGAAAAAGGCTTTATTCAAACTGGACAGATCCATCAGTTCTAAACAGTTACTCTAAATGTACAGTAAGTACCACAGGAGGAAACTGAACTAACCCTCCACTTTAAATATACTGGATATAGCTTTATCAAAATTATAAAGAATTCCTATTTTTAATATCTTTAGGTGATACAGTTTAATTACAGATCTAAAAGTGCATATTTGGCAGTGATGATCAGAAGAGTGATTTTAGCAATGAGTGATAAGGTTTGTAATGATGTTAGGATTTACAGATGTATTTGTCGAATGCAAGTGATTATTGCTATGCAAGTAAACGTAGTATGCGAGGGCAAATTAAGAATTTTACAGGAGCAAAAAATTGCCATTGAAATGCTATACCATGAGTTGTGGACATTATTAGATTATTGAATTGATGATACTTGACAACGTCAGGACAATGAGATGCATGAATTCTTTGTTTGCAATCACGTGATTTTTCATCCAAATGACGGGCAATCAAACAACTTGTGGACGATTTGTCTTCTATCAGAATGGTTGTAGCAAGAAAAATTGAACGGCAATTCATCTTTTGAGTCTTAAACTGTTCCTAAACTCGAGCAATACATTAAAATAGCCGTTTTTTGTTATACCTGCCCGTCATCTGAAATCCCAAAATTACGTCTTGCAAACAAAGAATACTAAAGAAATACCAAATGAAGTTTGTGATGTTACTCTGAGTGTGCATCCACACCGGGCAAGCTGAAAAGTTTGCCTGACCACGGTGGGAATCGAACCCGCGACCTTTGGGATACTAGTCCAATGCTCTGTCAACTGAATTACGATGTCAAGTCAGTAATTCGAGTTGGTGATACCGCGATGCTTATTTTATTAAAAAACTCATTATTAATGCATGATGAAAATGCAAAAGAAATCACTGCCGTGTCGGTAGTTTTATATGTGATAAAAAATCATGTTCATTTACATAAACTTTAGCTTTGATTTTGTCGGCATAGACAACGTTTAGTTTCAAAATAACTTCGTCAATGAACTCATCAGCTTGGTCTTTTTTTAAGCCATTTAAAACATTCACACTCCTTGCTTTATCCGATATAAAACACTCGAGCTGCGCTTTCGTGTTTTATATCTCATAAAGCACTAGTCTCCTACTCGTGTTTCAAATAGTATATAAATATCTCAAGAGTCAGCCATTTTCTGGGACGGCCCAAAGGATCACTGACATGACGTGCACTCTTTAAAGAATCGGTTTTAATTTGATTGAATGTTTTGCTAGGTCAGAGTTGATGATCGTGATTATTATGGCAACAAAAGATTGGAACTTGCTGGACAGGTAGGGATTGCATAAAATTGTTTGCTCGATATATTTAATTCCCACACTGGTTGTGTTTAACGAAGGGCGGTTTGCAGATTGTGTTACTACCCTTTGTCCGTGAGTTAAGCCTGTTACTGTCGCTGGCCAACATGAGCTCCACCTTTGAATTTACTATATGAGTAAATTCTTAAACACGTCCGAATTTATCATTATGATAGATTCGCGGCACATTTTGAATTTATCAATAGAGTTAATCATAAAATTAACATAAATGTAATGGCATTAGAAGGGAGGCTGGTCGCGCGGGGGTGGGGAGTTTCTCAAGTTTTTCAAGTTTTTTAAAAAAATAGTTTTTAAAAAGTTTTAAAAAGTTTTAAAAGAGTTTTGAAAAGCAAGAAAAGTTTAAAAAGTTAGATTTTTAACAAAGTTAAAAAAATTTAAAAAGTTAAAAAAGTTAGGGGGTAGGGGTTAGTGGTTAGGGGTTAGTGGTTAGGGTTGGGTTGGGGTTAGTGTTAGGTGCCGCGAATTTATTATTATGATAAATTCAAAATTTGCCGCGAATTTATCATAATGATAAATTCGGACGTGTTTAAGAATTTACTCACATAGTAAATTCAAAGGTGGAGCTCATGCTGCGCTGGCAGGGTTCGTAGCGGTCCCTGAAATCCTTGAAAGTCTTTAAATCTGAATGCAAGTCTTTGAGGTATTTGAAAAGTCTTTGAATTGTGTAAAAAAGGGAAGAAAGTCTTTAAAGTCTTTAAATTCTCTAGTGAGAATTGGATTATACGATTTCCTAGCTAATAAAATAGATCGATTGAAGCAAGGTTTTCGCAAATATCGACGAAAAAATGCATTTTAGGATGTGATTTGACGAGACTAATTATACCGGGTAAAAATGGTGCTTACACTCGCAATTTTTCGATAGCTGATTGCTCCCAAAGGTCTTTGAAAAGTCTTTGAAAATAGGCAGAAAAAATCTTTGAAAGTCTTAGGCAGAAAAAATCTTTGGAGACTACCATGGCCGGATTTTTACCTCCTCTGAGATCGTTCTGTAATTCTCCAAATTCTCCCCTGAGAATTTTTGCACCTCCCCTGAAATGTCATGCACCTTCTCTTGGGAAAGTTTCAATGATAGATCAAATTGAAAATTTGAAATTTTTAGGTTGCTTAGGGTCTACAATTCGCAAGAAAGCTTTTCTGTGAAATTGAAACAGTGGTAGCTAGTCATCTCTGTGTCAAGTATATGCAATGCAAAGTTTTTAAAGAAACTTTGTAGTAATTGTAATGAAGGGCAAGATTGCATGGATGAGTTGTACAGTCATAATTCTTTAATACTCATCACTTTGTCATTCACTTTGGTCCCTTCTAAGCTCTAACTTTCCATGGTGGTCATGAGCTAGACCACTGCACCTCCCCTAAATTTTTTCCACCAAAATCGGCCTTGGAGAGTAAGAATCCTGTGGTGGGTCGTGGGTGATAATGCACTTCTCTGACATGTCGAAACTTCCCATTTTCACACCATAGCCATGTTCCTTGATCACTTGTGTGTCGAATGGTATACTGGCAAAATCGGAGTTTCGATTGGATGATTTCAGCTGTCGACTAAATTTTGATGCAGACAAGAACGAGGATATCTATCATTATAGCTTGAACGAACATCCTTAAATTAGTAAAATTGGCAAACTCTATTGTAAAATATGGAAAATATAGCACCGTGAAATTAGCCTGTCGCGACTGACGTCGAGTTAGAACTCGAGTTAGTTAGCATCCTTTAACATTTATTTCATTTACCTTATCTTTAGCTTGTGTCAATTTTATTTGAAGATTTATTTAAACGATTTAACAACGACGTAAGTATATCACACATTACTAATCGTGTATTATAGTCGTTATTATTGTTCTGATTCGCTGTCTTGAACATGTTTTCGTTTTAATTTAGTTGAAACTAATTGCAGATAAAACTATTCCAAAGCCTCGAGCGGCCCAGGTAAATATTTTGTGATATTTGAAAAACTTTCTTGGGGATGGACAGCGACAGTGACAAACTTTATTTGTATGGAAGAAAGCCTGACACTTAGGTTAACACCGCAACACAACAATTAACACTTTGAAATTTTATTTAGTTTGATATTGTTAAACACATGAGACAGGATGTTATCACTAAAGGACTCGTCTACGCTATTTCAACTGTAAGTATACAATATTTTTTTGATTGGTCGTGATGGTCGTAAAAATAGAGTCACGGTCTTTCTCGACGGCCAGTTTATAATGGTTTATACCTGTAAACCACATACAAATCATAAGTATTCTCTAGTTATAATCACTCCGCGTATTTTCAGTTCTCAAATGTTGTATTCCAGATGATGAGAAAGATAGTGACTCAATCTTTACGACCGTTCCTTTGTTACCTTTGGGTAATCAGTACCTAAATACTGTCATGTATCACCCTCATCAAATAAAGTCGCTTACCTTACCTTACCATCAAGTTACCATAACGATCTAGTCTTCCTTTTGGTAACCTATATGTTCCTTTATGTAATCTATATATTCCTTTTTGTAACTTATATATGTTCCTTTTGGTAACCTATATGGTCCTTTTTGTAACCTATATATGTTCCTTTTTGTAATGTATATCTTCCTTTTTGTAGCCTATATCTGTTCCTTTTTGTAACCTATATATGTTCCTTTTTGTAACCTATATATGCTCCTTTTTGTAACCTATATATGTTCCTTTTTGTAACCTATATATGTTCCTTTTTGTAACCTATATATGCTCCTTTTTGTAACCTATATATGTTCCTTTTTGTAACCTATATATGCTCCTTTTTGTAACCTATATATGCTCCTTTTTGTAACCTATATATGTTCCTTTTTGTAACCTATATATGTTCCTTTTTGTAACCTATATATGCTCCTTTTTGTAACCTATATATGTTCCTTTTTGTAACCTATATATGTTCCTTTTTGTAACCTATATATGTTCCTTTTTGTAACCTATATATGTTCCTTTTTGTAACCTGTATATATATATGTTCCTTTTTGTAACCTATATATGCTCCTTTTTGTAACCTATATATGTTCCTTTTTGTAACCTATATATGTTCCTTTTTGTAACGTATATATGTTCCTTTTTGTAACCTATATATGCTCCTTTTTGTAACCTATATATGTTTCTTTTTGTAACCTATATATGCTCCTTTTTAGTGTGAAGTTTCTTCTAAACTTCACAGTATTGTGATGGTGGGGAAAATTCACACGAATCAGTCAGTCAGTCAGTCAAACAGTCAGTCAGTCATAGAGTAAACTTTCCGGGGGGCGTGTACGATTTATGTTCGTAGTGATTTATTGTGCTTAGTCAGTACTTTGAAGGTTATTTAGGCAATTTCAGTTAACTTATTTACATATTCTGTTATCCTTTTACCAAGTTCACAAAAATTTCGAGCAATCGCTTTCGTTATTGTAATTCTTTGTGAATTTTAGAACATTCGCTTCTCATGTTGTGTAAAGGATCTTTACCCCGGAACACCCGATTTTTCTTTAGTAGCGCAAATGCGCATGCGCTATCAAGCCGTAGAACACGATGGCGTGACGATATGCTAGGAAGGAGTGACAGTGTTGTTTTCAGATGTATAAACATTTCAGACGTGAATATTGAGTAAATCTTTGAAAATCTACGCAATATATAAATTGATCTTATGCATTACGGCCGTTCAATTAATAAGTGTCGATAATATTTAGGCGGTATATTCATTATACAGAGCTAGGAAGGAGCTAGACCGCCTAGACAGTGCATTTAAGACTCAAGTGTATAAACATTTCAGACATAAATATTGAGCCGAAAATCTTTGAGATTCTAAGCATTCAATTGAGTGCTGATATTATTTTCACGGTATACTCATTATACAGGGGTACAGTATGTACGAAGAAGCGAAACAGTGTTGTTTTTCAAATATATAAACATTTCAGACATGAATATTGAGAAAATCTTTGAGATTCTACGCAATAATATGATATATAAATTGATGAGTATGGTTACCGGCGTTCAATTAAGTGCCCATCGATAGACGATATTATTTAGACCGTGTATTCATTATACATTGTTATTTGACTGTATAAGGTGCCACATCACAGAATAGTACACTCAGGCAAAGAGCGAAAAATTGCATCAGATCAATAAAGCATCAACAACTATTAAACAGAAGCGGGCGTTCGTACAGGCGTTTATGAAGAAAATATTGCGAGACGAAGGAAATCAGTTGAGTCAGAGCTCCTTATTTTAATAAGAAAGACGAGGAGATAGCCAATATGTTATCGCCAACGTGTTATCGCCAATCGTTTGGCTCACCAACAAGCTTTATGCAATGGAAGAAAAAAGCAAGGAGGTACATGTAGCCAACGTGTACTGTCGCGGACCTTGTTTACTGTCTAGCACAACGCCGTTGTCAACGGTGCAAATTCGTGTTCAGTGCAACGTTAACTCTACCAGATCTTACGAGAATTAATCTGTAGTATTCTGTACACAGAACTGTATCAAAGCTTGTCAAAACTGCTTTAAACACTGCTATAACTGTGAAACTATTGAAATCTAAAGTGACATTATCAGACATTATTCAAAACATGCGAAAAGCTAAAAATAGACACAACGTGGCCACTGGGAAAAGTCAAAGGTCAATGCAGACTTGTTATTGTAAAACATGTCACAATTAGGTTAAAATGCGGAAGCGGATGGAGCGGACCACAGAACGGAAATGCGAAAAAAATATGGAACGGATGAAGATAAAATGCTTCCTTTCAATGATGTAACGACGTAGTGCTTATTATTTATAACATATCGTATACATCTATTTCAATTATAAGTTTGCAGTAGCCTTGTGCGGATGCTTTTAGCGACAGGTGCAATTGAAATTTCGAATTGTCGCGTGTAGCATCACAATAAATAGATAAATTGTATCAGTTTCACAAAGCACGTTTCTGATGTGTTAGGCTTGTTTCAAACGTCACGCTACTCGTGTGCCGAGCGTATTAAAAGCAATAAATAATGAGATGAAATGCCTTTGGTAACTGTTTATTTCGTAGTGTAAGCCATCAGCTTTTCTAGGTTGTCGGCGACCCTATATAGTTCTTGCAGTGTCTTTTTCAATTTGAAACTTCACACTATCCTTGGATCCCTAGTTATTATTTTGGAGTATTAAAAGTCGTTAGGGACGGACCATTAGAAAAGCCATGGGGTGGGGGGGATTTTCTGAGAGGCAATATATATATATATATATATATATATATATATATATATATATATATATATATATATATATATATATATATATATATATATATATATATATACTTTGTAATATCATAGTTGCCGAGGGAATCGCGCGTGGTGTGTTGCCTGTTTTGAATGCTGTTTGATTGTCTTATGATTGTGGTAGAAACACTTTTCATATATACGCACGCGCAGAAACACATATCCGTGTTCATTCGTTTTAGGCATGCGCATAAACGGAATTTTCTCCCACAATTGTAATGTTCAGGATTAGGGAATAAAAGCTGGCAAAGTGATTGTTCGAATGTGTACGGGACTTTGTCGTCAGATACTGTCCAAATTTGTGCCGATGATTTTTGATGAGGTACAGCTCTCCAATCAGAGGTAATGAGGTACGCTTTTGTCTTCTAAATTTTGTCTACGAAATCCTTTGTTTTCAACTAAATTTCCCGGGGAAATTTAGTTGAAAACAAAGGATTTCTTTGTCTTCTAATTTCCCCTTGCATGCTTGATGAGGGAAATTTAGAAGACAAAAGCGTATGCATGGGTAATGAGGTAAATTAGTGATTAATCGTACCTCGCGAGACAAAGGATTTCGAGGCAACTATGGTATTAATATGTATAGGTAATCACACGGGAAGGAGTGCAATTAATGATTAACACTACGAGTGATATTTGAGAAATGTGCCAAAATTGCACGAGCCGCCGAGGAGAGTGCAATTTGGCACATTTTTCAAATATCACGAGTAGTGTTAATCATTAATTGCACGACTTGCCCGTGTGATTATTTATTTATTATGTGCATGACAAAATCGCTCTCTTTATATTTCAACTGCATTTTGTCAAGAGTTTTTAATTCTTTTGTAACAATTTGGTATAAGCAAACTTGGGAAATGATTATAAACTCATAATTATAAAGGCACATAACTTGAACACAAGGCACACAACTCAAAGTGAACAACATATTTTAGACTAAGAGAATCTTGATAAATTGTATTTCAAACTTACATAGTCACGTTTCGCTGCATCCCGCCAAGATTATTTCTTAAGACTGTTTCCAGGTATTTTCCACAGACTCTTTTTGCCACACAATGTTTCTTAAACTCATTCTTGTGCCAAAATTCAGTTATATTCGTCCACATTTGTTAGAAATACTTATCTAAATTTCGCCGCCATATTGGATTTTGTTGTTTTGATTTCCCGCTCCCCCCAGCCATCACAAAAATCATTAATTGCACTCCTGGAGAGTGCAATTAATGAAATAATTGCACTCCTCTTAACCAATCAGATTGCAGTAATTTTGTCATGTATATAATATATATATATATATATATATATATATATATATATATATATA